CTGCTGGCTTCTGCAGGTGCTTGCCAGCCCCTTCCCCACCACTGCTGCTGGGTTTTGTGGGTGCTTGCCAGCCCTGTCCCAGCCACTACCACTGCCAGCTTCTGCAGGTGCTCGCCAGCCCCGTCCCTATTGCCAAAGCTGCTTTTGGCTTTTGCAGGTGCCCTCCCCCACCCCCAGACTCAGGAGGCACCAGTCACCCATGCCTTTATACATTATCCACCTTTATAGGCACTACGTACTCCCACAGCTTTTTGGTTGTGTCATATGTTTTCTTTTCTGAACTACTAGTATTAGAATGACACAGAGTGTTCCTGCTAGTATTAGTCAATGACAAATTTATAAACAGAGCACTTTATTATTACTATAAATTTTGAAAAGGTCCAAAGCCACTCTGTCTGAAGGCAAGCAGACAAACAATGAAGCATAAATGCCACAGAATGATTAAATGTAGATTTCTATAACTTTTTCACCCCCTTATTAACAACAGCCTCTCTCTATTAGTATTCGATGGCATATTATGGTTAGGGCACTCTCCTAGAAAGAGCCCAGGTCTCCTATTTCCTGGGAAAGCACTGTAGCTACTAATCTGTTATAGGAATTGGGAGTCAGAACTTCCTTCTGAGTTTCTGAGGAAAAGCAGCTACACCTGCTATATTCAAAAGACGAGTCATAGCTACCGCAGTGAAAAATATAGGCTTCCTCTGAGATGAAATTTTTGCTAGAAGACAATCTGCACCCTCAGCAGGACCATCTGTTTTTAGAATGGCTGCAAGGGTCATGCTCATTGGCTGCAGAATAGTCTGGGTCTAATATATAAGACCAGGCCTTTCATTTGGGCCTTGGCCATTCAACGCTTCACAACCCACAGCAGCTGTATCTATTCCCCTTTGGCCTGGCTCCTGGCTTCTGGCACTGCCTGGACAGAGATCTTGCTTATTGACTAGAACTTTGACTTGCACTTTGGTTCTGACCCTTTTGTATAGCCTTGGCCCCTAGTCTGGATCCTCCCCTGGGTCAGGTCCCAGTCTACTGTAGCGCTCCTGTAGATTACCCGTGACCCTGTTGCTAAATTCTGCAAGATGATTGTGGTGGCAGCCAACCTGCAGGCTACCTCAAAGATCCAGGATGCACAAAAGAGGGGAAGGGGACCAATAGGAAATTCCAAAATAGGACAACAGCGGGAAGAAATCCTCAAGGCTTAGTTGGAATGGTACAACATGATACCAGGGAGAGAGGTAGCCTGGAGCAGGAGAGCAGGATGTTGAAGAGGGAACCAAACATCTGCTCATTGCTAGGCTCCTCCTTTTAAGTTTGTAAGCATAGCAAACCACAAACTCTGCCTCAGTTTGAATATGTTTGGTGTTTGCTTTAAGAAATTCAGGGAACTGTAAAGTCAACCCTTATGTCCTAAACCAAGTTATTTGAGTACCTGTTTTTTTTCCTACAGACAGCTTCCTTCACGATGAATGATGTTTTTAGTTTCTCATCTTAAATTCTCATACTGGAGTGTAGTGTTTAACACTGTTAAGCTGGTATTGTATGTCATCTCAGAGGCAGGTGTATTATAGTAATTGGTGCAGCTGTCCACTGTGTGTTATATGTACACCAGTGTGTGAGGTGTTTTCAGGGGCTTTGGGCTATTTAGCAGTAGACAGTATTAGTAGTGTGTGCATGGTTGTTTTATTCTGTTCTCTCATGTCAAGCCCATTAGCTGAGCACTGTGTCAGTTAGTAACTTGTTCTGTGATCCTCCATGACCTAGTCATTATCCCCTGCCACCAATCCCTGAGATTCTTCTCATGTTTCTGATTATTAGCAGAAAATGTTACATGTAAATCAAATTTTACAAGTAAAGGAGCAAAAGAGAAGTTCAGTATCAAATCCCATAGTTTTCATTACAAGAGGCTGGTAGTATACTGCATGAAGTACATTGTTCTGTGGTAATATGGAGCAACCAGACCTAAAAAGACATTTTTAATTTAAGGTTATTGCCATAATTACTTAAATTACCAGGTGATATCAGAAAACTAAATTATGTGAATACTTAGGATGAATTCTTGGTCCTACTGAAATTAATGGCAAAACTCCCATGGTCTTAGCAGAGCCAGTATTTCATGCAAAGGATATGTAAAACTTGTTTTTGCTAATAAAGAAATGATTTCCAATCATGTGGAAATGAATTAGTCTGTATTTTTTAGATTCATGATTTTGTTTTTATATTTTCACATAGCTAGTTTTATGATCAAAAAGATATATTTTCCATTGTCATTTGTATAGATGTGGTACAGCAAAGTATGCAAGTAGTACAGACATTCCCAAACCAGTGGTCCATCTGGATCAGAATCATGTTTCTTACTGCAACCTATGTAGTGTGCTTCTGAGGAACGTACAAGAAGCTATGTTGTAGACAACTGTGAAATAAGTGTCATATTAAGGATAGTTCTTCCTAGCCACATCATTTAGTGATTGTTTAACGTGCACCTGGAATTATCTGTTTTGACTCTGGATCCAGGTACAATTACTGCTTGTATCTGAAATAAAATAGTACCTAGAAGACCCAACTGAGAATGAGGTCCTATTGTTTTGGTTTATAAGCATAAAGTAAGCAACAAATGGTGCGAAAAGAACTTTACAGTTTATAAATAGATGAAGGGCTGGTGAAAGGAAGTATTATTGTCCCCATTTTTTACCAGCGGGGATCTGGACCACAAAGAGGCTAAGTTATGCCTAAACAAATATGTATCATTGATAATAACTGAGCCCCGGTCATATAATTGCTGCAAAACTACTTACTTTTCACATTAATAATATAAAGGTCTGGTACTTGTTTGAATCTTATTAAACTCTTAATGTCAAAATTATCTTGTGTCAATAAGTTCCACAAGTTTTATTATGCATTATTCAAAGAAAGTGTTTCCTTTTGTCAATTTTGAATCAGTTGCTATTCAATTTAATTAAAAGTTCCTTTGTTCTTATATTAGGAGAGAGGGAGGTGTCCTTTGGCCTTCTCATTAGCCTTTGATTTAATAGATTATTTTATATGCTTATATCCTGGTTCTTTATTAATTTATTATCTGAATAAATTTGTGGTGCCTTTCTGTACAGAGATCTTATGTATCAAATCATGTTGTTAACAATCTTTTGAACTCTTATTTAAGCCTGCTTTATCTTTCTTGGGAGAAGTGAGCAGAAATGAACACAGTTCAGTCATAATCAAGGTCCCATATTCTTTTCATTGGATGGACAGAGTTTCTTAGGAATTTACGTGTTGGGTTTTCCATTCTGAACAGGCTGCTGTTGTTGATACTGCTAATGTTGCTACTTTTCTTTCGTATTGAAGCTTCTTTATGTTCTGGAATTTGGTTTAAACGAGCAAAGAAAAAGCTTTCAACAAACAATTTTTAATGTAGCTTAGTTCTAAGAAACAAAAAAAGAGGATTGTTTGATTGCAGTAATAACTAGTTAATTTGTCAGAAACAATGGACTTTGGAAATTAGTAATTTAGGAACAATGGCACTTGCTTAGGTATCCGGGAGATGTTATAAAGTCTAGAGACTGTGGGATGTATGTATAGTAGAAACAAATAAAGAGATCATTAATTATGTCTATATATGAAAGAATTCTATTAGTTTAAGTGAAATCTGAAATAGCCCAGCAATTGCTTTTTACAGGTCATTTTGCAGTGTTGCAATATGGAATCAAATCCTGTCTGCCAGTCATGGTAAGCCAGTAGAGTAACACTGTTCAAATTAATGCTGTGGACATATTTAATTTAGCTGAAAGGTATAGTGTAATGTATTTTATATAGCTGCAGAATTATACATAAATAGTCTTCTCTTCATCCATCATGTTAAAAATGATTGAAAATCCATAATCAAAAAGTATTTTAATAGTTCACTGTCAGAGTAGAAAGACATATCAAGTATGGTCCTGTTGAAGTCTGGTATTATTCAAAATTGTCATTAAAGACTTGCATAAAAACTGCAGATGACACCACACTGCAAACACTTTGGAGAACAGGATTAAAATTCAAAATTATCTTGGTAAGTGGCAGAAAAGGTTCATAATCAATAAGATTAAATTAATTAAAGACAAGTACAGTATTCTATACTGTGGAAGGAACAAGTGAATACTTAAATACAAAATGGGGAATACTTGACAAAGAATCAGTGCTGGAGAAAAAGATTTGGGGATTGTGGTAGATCACAAACTGAATATGCATAAACTGTAGGATACTGTTGCAAAAAAGCAATCTCTTTCAGGGATACACTAACAGGAGTGTCATATGTAAGTAATGGAAAAGAAATATTCTTATCTACTGAGCACTGGTGAGGTCTCAGCTTGGAGTACAGTTTAAGAAAGAGGTGAGCAAATCGGAGAGAGTCTAGATGTGAGCAACAAGAGTGATAAAAGTTTAAAAAGCATGGCTTGCAAGGAAAGGTTGAAAGAATTGGGGCTTTTTAGTCTAGAAAAAGGAAAACTAATAGGGGTGAACAGGAAGCATGATAATTGTGTTTAAGTTTGCGAAAGGTTATCACAAAGAGTATGGTGATCAATTGCTTTCCACGTCTGCTGGAAGTACAGCAAGAAGCAATTGGCTTAAGTTGTTGTACAGGAAACTGAGGTTGGATAGTAGGTAATTTTTTCTAACACTAAGAATAATTGTAGATTGGAACAGACTACATAGGAAGATTATGGGATCACAATCACTCAAAGCTTTTAAGAACAAGCTAGACAAACATCCATCATGGATGTTTAATCCTGCATCAGAGGAAGAGGATGAAATATCTGGCTTCTTGAAATTCATTCTAGATCTTCATTTGCGTGTCTTCTATGATGTTTTGCTTTTTCAACCATGAGCTGACTCGGGTCATGAAAAAAAACAATGACCTTCAGAGCAAGTGTGAACTGTGTGTTAAATATATAGTAGCAATTAAATTGTCTTTGGCATATATTTACTATCACCAACTGAACAGACCCTCCCTTTTCTTCCTCCAACAGTCTCCAATCGCCCACAGCTACCCAGACATGGAAACTGGACCCTTGTTGCTAAACAACATGAAGGCTGATACCCCAGAGGATTCATTATGTACAGACGATTTCCAAACACAAACTGAGCCAGTGGACTTATCAATAAACAAAGCCAGGTCATCCCCTACAGCAGCTTCATCTTCACCAGTTTCCATGACAGCATCAGCTTCCTCTCCTTCTTCTACTTCAACTTCATCTAGTCGGCCAGCTTCATCCCCTACAGTAATAACATCAGTATCTTCAGCGGCATCCGTACCATCAGTATTAACTTCAGGTCCTCTCGTGGCCTCTGCATCTAGTGTTAGTAGCCAGCAGTTTTTGCACATAATCCATCCAGTACCACCCTCAAGCCCCATGAACTTACAGTCCAACAAAATGAGTCATGTGCACCGTATTCCAGTTGTGGTGCAGTCGGTACCTGTTGTCTACACAGCTGTGAGATCACCTGGGAATATGAACAATACCATAGTAGTACCACTGTTGGAGGATGGGAGAAGTCATGTCAAAGGTAAGAGCTGTTTTTTTCTATCTCAAGCTTCTGTGGCATCAACGTAATATAAGCAACATACAAAAACATTGTAACACTAATTGCTTTATAAAACTTCATTTGATTAAATTCATTTTGTCCAAAGTTTATAAAAAGCTTCAATCTAGAAACAACCATAATCACCCCTGGTTTAATTTTACTGATGTCAGTAGATTTGAATCAGGGAAAAAATGATCTATGGAGACAAATAATCATTGTTTAAGGACATTGTTTTCACCATAAGTTTATTACCTAAATACCTTTAACCTTTAAAAAGTATTGCTCTGGGTACCTGGCATAGAAGTTAAAGAACTGAGAGAATGGGATAGTAGTGAAAGGTAATTTCAAACTTGGAGAAAACAGAGTCAGAGTGGCCTTCAAAAATGTCTGAAGTAGAAAAATGAGGTCAGCAGAAGAAGAATGGAAAGTAGGAAGATGAAAAGTAAAGGCCTCCAAAGCAGAGAGCAGTGGTATATTAAAAGTATACCATGTTCCTTTAAACTTAAAGAGGAGCAGAGATACTGTACCCGCCTACTCCGCAGGTGCTCCTCTGCGTTGCCCGCAGCCTGCTCTGCTGCACTGCTCGCAGCTTGCTCCACCTTTGCTCGGCGTTGCCCCGCACTCCGCAGGTGCTCCTCTGCGTTGCTCGCAGCCTGCTCTGCTGCACTGCTCGCAGCTTGCTCCACCTTTGCTCGGCGTTGCCCCGCACTCCGCAGGTGCTCCTCTGCGTTGCCCGCAGCCTGCTCTGCTGCACTGCTCGCAGCTTGCTCCACCTTTGCTCGGCGTTGCCCCGCACTCCGCAGGTGCTCCTCTGCGTTGCCCGCAGCCTGCTCTGCTGCACTGCTCGCAGCTTGCTCCACCTTTGCTCGGCGTTGCCCCGCACTCCGCAGGTGCTCCTCTGCGTTGCCCGCAGCCTGCTCTGCTGCACTGCTCGCAGCTTGCTCCACCTTTGCTCGGCGTTGCCCCGCACTCCGCAGGTGCTCCTCTGCGTTGCTCGCAGCCTGCTCTGCTGCACTGCTCGCAGCTTGCTCCACCTTTGCTCGGCGTTGCCCCGCACTCCGCAGGTGCTCCTCTGCGTTGCCCGCAGCCTGCTCTGCTGCACTGCTCGCAGCTTGCTCCACCTTTGCTCGGCGTTGCCCCGCACTCCGCAGGTGCTCCTCTGCGTTGCCCGCAGCCTGCTCTGCTGCACTGCTCGCAGCTTGCTCCACCTTTGCTCGGCGTTGCCCCGCACTCCGCAGGTGCTCCTCTGCGTTGCCCGCAGCCTGCTCTGCTGCACTGCTCGCAGCTTGCTCCACCTTTGCTCGGCGTTGCCCCGCACTCCGCAGGTGCTCCTCTGCGTTGCTCGCAGCCTGCTCTGCTGCACTGCTCGCAGCTTGCTCCACCTTTGCTCGGCGTTGCCCCGCACTCCGCAGGTGCTCCTCTGCGTTGCCCGCAGCCTGCTCTGCTGCACTGCTCGCAGCTTGCTCCACCTTTGCTCGGCGTTGCCCCGCACTCCGCAGGTGCTCCTCTGCGTTGCCCGCAGCCTGCTCTGCTGCACTGCTCGCAGCTTGCTCCACCTTTGCTCGGCGTTGCCCCGCACTCCGCAGGTGCTCCTCTGCGTTGCCCGCAGCCTGCTCTGCTGCACTGCTCGCAGCTTGCTCCACCTTTGCTCGGCGTTGCCCCGCACTCCGCAGGTGCTCCTCTGCGTTGCTCGCAGCCTGCTCTGCTGCACTGCTCGCAGCTTGCTCCACCTTTGCTCGGCGTTGCCCCGCACTCCGCAGGTGCTCCTCTGCGTTGCCCGCAGCCTGCTCTGCTGCACTGCTCGCAGCTTGCTCCACCTTTGCTCGGCGTTGCCCCGCACTCCGCAGGTGCTCCTCTGCGTTGCCCGCAGCCTGCTCTGCTGCACTGCTCGCAGCTTGCTCCACCTTTGCTCGGCGTTGCCCCGCACTCCGCAGGTGCTCCTCTGCGTTGCCCGCAGCCTGCTCTGCTGCACTGCTCGCAGCTTGCTCCACCTTTGCTCGGCGTTGCCCCGCACTCCGCAGGTGCTCCTCTGCGTTGCTCGCAGCCTGCTCTGCTGCACTGCTCGCAGCTTGCTCCACCTTTGCTCGGCGTTGCCCCGCACTCCGCAGGTGCTCCTCTGCGTTGCCCGCAGCCTGCTCTGCTGCACTGCTCGCAGCTTGCTCCACCTTTGCTCGGCGTTGCCCCGCACTCCGCAGGTGCTCCTCTGCGTTGCCCGCAGCCTGCTCTGCTGCACTGCTCGCAGCTTGCTCCACCTTTGCTCGGCGTTGCCCCGCACTCCGCAGGTGCTCCTCTGCGTTGCCCGCAGCCTGCTCTGCTGCACTGCTCGCAGCTTGCTCCACCTTTGCTCGGCGTTGCCCCGCACTCCGCAGGTGCTCCTCTGCGTTGCTCGCAGCCTGCTCTGCTGCACTGCTCGCAGCTTGCTCCACCTTTGCTCGGCGTTGCCCCGCACTCCGCAGGTGCTCCTCTGCGTTGCCCGCAGCCTGCTCTGCTGCACTGCTCGCAGCTTGCTCCACCTTTGCTCGGCGTTGCCCCGCACTCCGCAGGTGCTCCTCTGCGTTGCCCGCAGCCTGCTCTGCTGCACTGCTCGCAGCTTGCTCCACCTTTGCTCGGCGTTGCCCCGCACTCCGCAGGTGCTCCTCTGCGTTGCCCGCAGCCTGCTCTGCTGCACTGCTCGCAGCTTGCTCCACCTTTGCTCGGCGTTGCCCCGCACTCCGCAGGTGCTCCTCTGCGTTGCTCGCAGCCTGCTCTGCTGCACTGCTCGCAGCTTGCTCCACCTTTGCTCGGCGTTGCCCCGCACTCCGCAGGTGCTCCTCTGCGTTGCCCGCAGCCTGCTCTGCTGCACTGCTCGCAGCTTGCTCCACCTTTGCTCGGCGTTGCCCCGCACTCCGCAGGTGCTCCTCTGCGTTGCCCGCAGCCTGCTCTGCTGCACTGCTCGCAGCTTGCTCCACCTTTGCTCGGCGTTGCCCCGCACTCCGCAGGTGCTCCTCTGCGTTGCCCGCAGCCTGCTCTGCTGCACTGCTCGCAGCTTGCTCCACCTTTGCTCGGCGTTGCCCCGCACTCCGCAGGTGCTCCTCTGCGTTGCTCGCAGCCTGCTCTGCTGCACTGCTCGCAGCTTGCTCCACCTTTGCTCGGCGTTGCCCCGCACTCCGCAGGTGCTCCTCTGCGTTGCCCGCAGCCTGCTCTGCTGCACTGCTCGCAGCTTGCTCCACCTTTGCTCGGCGTTGCCCCGCACTCCGCAGGTGCTCCTCTGCGTTGCCCGCAGCCTGCTCTGCTGCACTGCTCGCAGCTTGCTCCACCTTTGCTCGGCGTTGCCCCGCACTCCGCAGGTGCTCCTCTGCGTTGCCCGCAGCCTGCTCTGCTGCACTGCTCGCAGCTTGCTCCACCTTTGCTCGGCGTTGCCCCGCACTCCGCAGGTGCTCCTCTGCGTTGCTCGCAGCCTGCTCTGCTGCACTGCTCGCAGCTTGCTCCACCTTTGCTCGGCGTTGCCCCGCACTCCGCAGGTGCTCCTCTGCGTTGCCCGCAGCCTGCTCTGCTGCACTGCTCGCAGCTTGCTCCACCTTTGCTCGGCGTTGCCCCGCACTCCGCAGGTGCTCCTCTGCGTTGCCCGCAGCCTGCTCTGCTGCACTGCTCGCAGCTTGCTCCACCTTTGCTCGGCGTTGCCCCGCACTCCGCAGGTGCTCCTCTGCGTTGCCCGCAGCCTGCTCTGCTGCACTGCTCGCAGCTTGCTCCACCTTTGCTCGGCGTTGCCCCGCACTCCGCAGGTGCTCCTCTGCGTTGCTCGCAGCCTGCTCTGCTGCACTGCTCGCAGCTTGCTCCACCTTTGCTCGGCGTTGCCCCGCACTCCGCAGGTGCTCCTCTGCGTTGCCCGCAGCCTGCTCTGCTGCACTGCTCGCAGCTTGCTCCACCTTTGCTCGGCGTTGCCCCGCACTCCGCAGGTGCTCCTCTGCGTTGCCCGCAGCCTGCTCTGCTGCACTGCTCGCAGCTTGCTCCACCTTTGCTCGGCGTTGCCCCGCACTCCGCAGGTGCTCCTCTGCGTTGCCCGCAGCCTGCTCTGCTGCACTGCTCGCAGCTTGCTCCACCTTTGCTCGGCGTTGCCCCGCACTCCGCAGGTGCTCCTCTGCGTTGCTCGCAGCCTGCTCTGCTGCACTGCTCGCAGCTTGCTCCACCTTTGCTCGGCGTTGCCCCGCACTCCGCAGGTGCTCCTCTGCGTTGCCCGCAGCCTGCTCTGCTGCACTGCTCGCAGCTTGCTCCACCTTTGCTCGGCGTTGCCCCGCACTCCGCAGGTGCTCCTCTGCGTTGCCCGCAGCCTGCTCTGCTGCACTGCTCGCAGCTTGCTCCACCTTTGCTCGGCGTTGCCCCGCACTCCGCAGGTGCTCCTCTGCGTTGCCCGCAGCCTGCTCTGCTGCACTGCTCGCAGCTTGCTCCACCTTTGCTCGGCGTTGCCCCGCACTCCGCAGGTGCTCCTCTGCGTTGCTCGCAGCCTGCTCTGCTGCACTGCTCGCAGCTTGCTCCACCTTTGCTCGGCGTTGCCCCGCACTCCGCAGGTGCTCCTCTGCGTTGCCCGCAGCCTGCTCTGCTGCACTGCTCGCAGCTTGCTCCACCTTTGCTCGGCGTTGCCCCGCACTCCGCAGGTGCTCCTCTGCGTTGCCCGCAGCCTGCTCTGCTGCACTGCTCGCAGCTTGCTCCACCTTTGCTCGGCGTTGCCCCGCACTCCGCAGGTGCTCCTCTGCGTTGCCCGCAGCCTGCTCTGCTGCACTGCTCGCAGCTTGCTCCACCTTTGCTCGGCGTTGCCCCGCACTCCGCAGGTGCTCCTCTGCGTTGCTCGCAGCCTGCTCTGCTGCACTGCTCGCAGCTTGCTCCACCTTTGCTCGGCGTTGCCCCGCACTCCGCAGGTGCTCCTCTGCGTTGCCCGCAGCCTGCTCTGCTGCACTGCTCGCAGCTTGCTCCACCTTTGCTCGGCGTTGCCCCGCACTCCGCAGGTG